AACTACATCACTCTTACACTTTTGTATTCACATCACTCTCTTTAGTTAATAGACTGCTCTATGCATGCTGTTTCACAGCATCTGACAAAGGGAGCTGGGGCTCATGAAAGTTTATGCATCTCTGATTTAGTGAGTCTATAAGGTACATCTCTACCCTGCCTTCTCCTTGACTTTAGACTATCAGGGCTAACACCCTCTCTCTGTTCAGTTAACAGCAAAAAACCTTTCCAACAGGAATACAATGGTACTCAACACATTTACAGTACCAGTGCAGACCAGGCCTTCAGTTGCAACCCTTCACAGTTTTCCAAAATGAGTGCACAGTCATTGTAGACCTTCAGATAGAATAATTGAGTGCAAGTTAAATGAAGTTCAAAAATTATTTAGCTGGACATCTCCTCCTTGTGGATATAGGTGAACTGGCTTTGTTCTGCCCCAGACAGAGCTTCTGTTTAATAAAAAAGATGCTAGCTTTAACTCAGCCCCATGCATACCCAGCCCTGAGGGTGCAGGGCACTTGTTCCAGTCAATCTGTAAGATCACTTTCATTACCTCCCACTTCTCAGTGACTCACAGCAGCAGCAAGCAGCAACTTGGGGAGGCAAGAGGCCACCTTTCATTGGGCTTGCACAAGGTTTCTGCCAGGGATTCAGTCTGACACCCCCAAGGGACATGCCCAAGCATGCGTTCTAATATGCAAGTCAGCTGCTTCTGCACCCAAGCACAATGAATCCTGGAGCTACAGCAGCTTTTCCAACCCACCATGTCCTTCATATCTATACATTTTGCAGATCCCAGGTCTCCCATCCAGGGGGAGAACTAAGCAGCACCTGCTTAGCTAATACAAGCAACTGAGCATCCTGTACTGGTGTCACAGCCCTGCTGTAGGGCTAAGGGACAGCGGGGGCAGGGTGTCCAGGGGCTGAGGGCAGCAGTCACAGGGCAGATGCTGTCCCCACAGGGTAGGTGCGTATGTGGGTGGGGTGGGGGGGAGGTACTTGCCTCCTGGATGGCAGCACCCACTGAGGCGGCCTCTGGGCAGAGGGGGCATTGTGAGTAAAACTTCAGGGGCTTCCTTTCTTCTAACTCTGAGCCAGACCCTCATGGCTAGAGCACAGGTCTCTGAGGGAAATGTGCCCTTGAACTGTCCAATAGGGGGCTTCATGCTTTTGGGGTTGTTTTTTTTCTGTGGTGTTTTGTGCCAGACGGGGAACTAAGGGTGTGTAAACCAGGGTGTCCACCCATTTGGGCCCATAGGCTGAATCCAGACAGCAAGAGTGTCCCCGGGGCCAGGTAAGCTGCCAGTGGCAGTGGCGTTCATCCCCATGGCTGTCTGGAGCAGCTGTGTCAGTGCAGGCCTAGATCCCAAGGAATTAATACTACTTGCTTCCCCATTTTTCTCTTCGGCCAATGTTAGTCGCCAAGGGCAGCCCAAAACCTCCATTTCAGGGGTGGGTAAGGGGGAGAGGTGAGGGACGGTCATTCTCCACATGCCAGACCTGCAACCAAACAGAGACTCTGGAAGACACAAGGCTTAACACTGCTGTCTCAGGGGCTCCTGTCAGCCCCCATGATGAGCCCTGCGAGCCAAATCTGGCCTGCAGAGGTAGGTGGTCTAGCCCATGAGAAGCCCTGCAGGCTAGATGACCATGGACTGGATCCAGCCTGCAGGTCTTATGTTTGACCCCAGGGTTAGATCATGGTCTGATCCAGTTAGGTAATGTATCTGTTTAAAAGTTCTCCCATACCCATTTCTTATAATGTCTTCCAATGCACACTGTATAGGAACACTTGTTTTAATAAAACTGAAAACTAAGGGTAGGGGTGACTATCGGGCCAAAATGGGCTTTAAAACGTTTTCTGTGATATGTTTTAAAACTTTTTTTGACAAGAATTGGGAGTGTTTGTATAAGGAAGGTGATGACTGCTCTCTGGCTCCTTTCTCCTCATTCCAATCATCAGATCGCAATGCTGGTGCATTGGGAGGGGAGGGCAATGCGGGTACTGTCCACACTGCAACAGCTGACAAAGGAGTACAAAAGTCACATTTGGGGTCAGGACCTTTCTAAGCTGTTCCTGAGGTCCCCGTGGTGTGCCATGTCAGAGTATCCAAATTTTTTATGGCTGAGAAGGATTTAATTTACAGTTGAATACAACCGTTTCTATGCAGTTGTGTCAACCAGGGATTGCTGAACCTCCCTACATCAGGGACAGTGCCCTTAGCACACTCCTCCTATGCAGGCTATATGTCATCTTTGCTTGGGAAAATCCCAACTGGCCACTGAGTACCACAGCAAGCCTTATGAGAGCTGAGGATCTGGCCCTTTATTTTCTTTTATATGGGATGATGATGCATCTTCCACTACTTGATGTTTTTCTTAAAGGCCATAGTTCTTAGTATCGTATGGTTAGGTGACTGTCGCAGCTTTCATGTTTTAAGAACATTTCTTGCCCTCATGCTTGCAGAAGAAAGGTGTACAATGTGAAATGAATATATCTTACAGAAGCCAGTGATAAATAAAAAGAAGGTGAATTTTAACTCTCATAGCTTAAGACAGTCTTGTGGCTTCAGAGAAGGCAATTCAGGTAATGTGAACACTTGGACAGGCTATGTACTTTGTTCTGCATTCTTGTGACTTGACTTCAGTTTTGTTTTATAACATTTGCAGGACCACATCTCATTCTGCTCTCATTTTACATAGGATTGCTTTTGGCCACAGATTCTCTTACTCTTAAAACTTAAATATACATGCTCTTATTGTAAGCAAGACAAACGAAGACTGCTGTAGTAACATTCATCTTTGATGTTTGTTCCCTGGTAAATATTCGTCCGGATTTACCATCATTTACGAAATTGTCTTTTAAGATGCATGAATAGTGCCTGCACATTTTGAGCAAGGATGCTGCATTATTTTGGTTACTATTTTCACTGCTCTGGTGAAAATGCCAGATTTCATATTATATCTATTCATGCGAGCGAGGAGAGGAGAGTGAGAATAAGCTTTTTTTGTTAAGTGGTGTTTGGGCTTGGGGCTTAAATTCAAGCAGTCTTTTTATTTCTTCTCTCTGGAATATCTGTATTAATGAGAATATGGAGTTTGTTATAAGACTGGAATAAGTTTTCTCTGAGCAGTAAAAAAGCTATTCATTAACTTTTTGTGCCATAAGTGATCTAGTTTCAAGCAGGCTATACACTACCCTTCTCAATTAGCTGAGCTGCATTGCAAAAAATAAGGGCATAAGATTTTCTGCTTGTGTAAACTGTCATAGGTACTTGTTATAATCTGTGGTTATATTGGAGCCATTATAACAGTTAAGGTCAGCTGTGGACCTGGCCCTTAACTCTCTACTTCTGTGAGAAAACTAGTAGGAATAAGCTTAAAAAGAAAGAATTTTCACCATGAAACTCTTTGATTCAATGTGGCTTCTGGCACTTGGGAAACTCAAACTAGTACAAAATGCTACTCTCTCTCTTCAGTAATGCAGCCTACAGTGAATTCAACAGTGCTGACCTCTACTTTCTATACTGACTTTCAATAGCATATCAAGTTGTATGTCTTAGTTGTTATCTTGATGGTGTCCGATGGCCTGACCCTAAGATATCCAAGTGAAGGCATAAAGCACAAGGATGAAAACAGTGAGAGACTGAGGGACCTGAACCTGTTCAGCCTCCACAAGAGAAGGCTGAGGGGGGACCTGGTGACCGTCTATAAACTCACTAGGGGGGACCAGAAGGGTTTGGGGGAGACGCTGTTTCCCCTAGTGCCCGCTGGCATAACAAGGAGTAATGGGCACAAGTTGATGGAGAGGAGGTATAGATTGGACATCCGCAAAAACTACTTCACAGTTAGGGCGGCTAGGAGCTGGAACCAACTTCCAAGGGAAGTGGTGCTGGCCCCTACCCTGGGGGTCTTTAAGAAGAGGCTGGATGCCTACCTGGCTGGACTCATTTGAGTCCCGTTTTTGTTTTGGGGTTTTGTTGTTCTCCCGCCCTGGCGGGGGGTCGGGCTAGAAGATCTACTAGGTCCCTTCCGACCCTAAATCTATGAAACTATGAAACTATGAAAACCACGGTCAATCATTTTGCTTCTCTATAACTGGGATATTCTACAATAGGGGTACAGACTGTGTGGGGTGAGAGCTTTTTGGGTAGCCTGAAACCACCACAGAACTCATCCCACTCCAATTTCCGGTCATAGTTTGTTCAGTTTTGTGACAAGGCATGCATCATAGCAAAGATATTTTAAAAAATTCAGCCTGCTGTCCCCCACACAAAATACACAGTTGCATAAACTTCTTGCTCGGAGTGGAGGATGATAAAACAAATTATATATAATAGAGGTTAGGTATATTGCTTAACTGCTGGAAAGCACTCAGATAATAGGGCAATGAGGATGTATGAGAACCTATATAGAATACAGTGTTCCATACAGGCTGATACAAATCTGGTGAAGAGAACAGAAGTGTAGTACAGAAGGTATCCCACAGGGGTGCAGGACAGGGATCTCTCTAAGTGTTTTCCATGGCTTGTATTGTCCTCCACAATTTGCCCACTGCCCTTGCCTGACTGGAGAAATTCCTACTGAGATTTTGGTGTAAGGAGAAGGGGCAATGCACAGGTAGCTAAATCTCATTTTCATATAGGAGGAGAAGATGATGAAAAATGTGTTTCCTAGTGGATTACATGATCAGACCCATTTTAGGCATAAGAGAATAACTTATGGAGAGTGTCATCCTTGACTTAAACGTGAACTTGCTTATAAGATGGGGCCCATAATGTTACTTTAACATTGCTTTTGGAGATTTATGCATTGCAGTAGCTATAAATATGACAAATTATCTATAATAGCTTACCAAGCTATTAAAAGTTATAAAAGCCTACCTAACATTAACCAAAATACATTTGTATTGATTAATTTGGTTGCATACTTTCATATATTTATGTAACACCCACCTTGTTTTGATACTTAAGTAATATTTTTCTGTTAAAGACTAGGTTGCTGTGTTGGAATAATCAATAGAAGATGAATGACACTAGAGACCAGTGTCTGTTCTTTGTCAGTCTGCCTGATCTACAAAAACTCTATGCCATTAAGATTACACTGAGTTCTGCTGTGTCAGAAACTCAGATTAGAAATACACAGCTGAAGATTTGCAGGTAAAGGCAAATAATTTTGAAAGCTGCTATTTTCAGAAGTAATTGTTCTGATAAAAATAATTCATAAGTAGTAATAGTTATTACAAATAAGAAGATCAATGAAATTCTTAATCACCTTGGGATATTTACTATGTATTTTTTTCCTGGACCTCCTCTTTTGAGGTAGGCAATAGCTGCTAAAAAAACAGCAAAATATTCCATTTGTTTTAAAAGTGTTTGGTAAATTGTCGTTAGGCTGGCCCTTATTGTGGATTTTGTTTAATTTCGCGACAGCTAATTTTAATATGGATAGCAAGTAACTGCTTTGACTCTGACCAATCTGGATGAAATATAAATTAGTAACCTGAGCTGTCCAGCATTTACTACCAAACTACTAGAAACTTAATGTAAAATGTACTTACACTTTAGTAGAAATAATTAAAATGAATGTAATGTAGTGCTGAGATAACAAGATCAATTTAAAGGAAATTCTTTTTATACTTAATTTTGAAAGTTTTATCTTCATAGGCAATTGCTGTTTCTGCATCAAGACATCCTGTCCTCACCTGTACCTGGAACACTGAATGAAATTTTAGCTGTAATGGCGGTCAGTAGTAACATTACATATATACAGAGTTATATATGTAGCTCTTTTTAGAGGCTTATTTATCAAAACTAATATCAGAAACTTAATATGTGATACAATTTAAGTATAAGTGTGCTCATGTGAAACAAACAACTGAACACTAACAGTATATATGGCATATTATTCCTGTGTTGAAGAAATAGCTCTTTGAAAGGATAGTGATGGTACATACTTTCCACATGCACTTAAATGCAAAATACAGGCAAATTTCCCTTAAGTGATGAGATGGAGCAGAATTGTACTGAATGTACCTGTGGACATATTGAAATCAAAGAACTTAAGATTTCATGTAAAATGCTGGGGCAACCTTTGTCTGATAAGGCTGATTTCTTAAATAGCTTTCACAGGGCATGTCTACACATTCATTAATACTCCTTAGACACTGCACATTTAGTTTAGTACTCACTTAATAAAGTACCAACTAAATGCGCAGTACCTAGAATTACTGTGCAGAAGTGCCAACGTACAGTTTTTTAGTGATGCTTACTGTGCATTAGCTTAATATAACACTGCACAGTAAGCTAATAACACAGTTTGTGTTGTAACATGCTACTATGCTGTTATTAAGCTAATCTGCAGTAACCATCTCGGGTAGACGTGCCCATAGTAAACTAAATTTCCAGGTTATTTAATATAACATATAACTATACATTTTATACTCTGTGCATGTGTGTGGTACCGACTCACTGTGGCTCAAAGTAGGTAGGATATAACCTAGCATAATAATAAGCAGGGGCAGAGTGAAGAGGACAATGGTTTGAACCATTTACAGATGATAACCTACATTTCATACATTTTTTAGGACTGTACAAAACATAAAATCAGCTTGTCAATAAAATATTTCCACACAACTGCATTAATGATATATTTAGCTTTGGTGATTAGTTAAGGATGTAGAAAAAATAGTTCTTCCTGACTCACTTGAAAATGGACTTGTCAGCCCAGGTAACAGACTGACAGCAATTATCCTTTGTCCTCTGGGTTTTTGTTTTGGGGTACCATCCGTACTTTAGAACTGGGATTTCAATTGCCCATGCACCAGATCCAGCCTGCAGACCTGCTTTATCTGGCTTTCTGGGCTTTGGGCAGGCCATTGAATTTTGAGGTGGGGCTGCCAGGGGGATATAGACTCCAGGGATATAGGTCCCCAATGGGCATGACCATCAGTGGCAGACAGGTAGTCTGATATAGCTCACATGCCACACAACTGCTTGACTTGTAACCACTTAACACACCTCCATTTGCCCTCTGGCCACCACTGCTTGCTCTGCTGCAGAGCAGCTTGGTCCTGAACAGTTAGTTTCATTTGATGCCTCTGCCACAAATGGCATCCTGCTTCATAATTAATTGTCTATTATAGCAATAAAAGTAACTAGTAATAATAAATTAAGATTGTTATCAAAGACCTTGCTCCAGAGGAGTGGTTAATACAGGATAGAAATGCAAGGTTGTGCTATCAGGTGCTTCTTATATACTCCTTCTATGTTCAGACATTGAAAGAATTTTTTTTCTTATTGATTTAGATATCTCTTTACAAAACAGGAAAATGTCAGGCTTATACAGAGAAACATGAAGCTACAGTAAGTGATTAAATATGTCATGATTTTTGATGCTGTTATACTTACATTTCTTGTTGTCAAAACTTGCGCATTATAGAATTAATGTTTCTATGACTCCAGGCAGATGTTACACTTAAAACATGTTTCTTTAACATCCCTGGCGCATGAGGATCCTGGATGCTGGGAACCTGTCCCCAGTCCTGGAGCCTCAGCAAGCAGCATAACAAGCAGAGCTGGTGTCCAGGGCAGATCCTGCAGGAAAGTAGGGATGCACATTTCTGAGAGTGGCGGGACAAGCAAGTTCCAAGAGCGGAAGGAAGCAGGCTTATCCATGCTGGGAACTCCTAAACAGTTACTGGATGAGCAGCTGCTGCCACTCTGCCTGGTCCAGCTGTTCCTCTTAAAGCAGCAGCAGTTGGAGGCTGTTGTGGAGTTTCTGGCATGAGTACGCTGCTGCGATACAGAGTCTTTAGGGGAACAATTCTGGTGCCCCTCCTAACTTCATGCCTGGGGTAGGTGCTTCTCTTGCCTACCCCTCCTGATGTGATTGGCCCCAGTGCATTGAGACCTGGATCTGGATTTGGGTGTCAGTAGCAGACTGGCTAAGTTCACAGACAACACCAAATTATGGGGAAGTGCAGTCACACTGGAGGATAGACTGGCAATTCAGGCCAACCTGGACAGGCTCACAAGGTGGGCAGATCAAAACCTGATGACATTCAACATAGAGAAATTCAAGGTGCTCCATCTCAGGAGAAAGAACCTATATCATACTTATAGGCTCAGCAGTGCTACACTCACTAGCACCATGACCAAAAGAGAACTGGGGGTCATGATGGATCACAAGATGAACATGAGCCACCAATGTGATGCTGCAGCTGGCAAAGCAAACAAAACTCTGGCTTACATCTACCAATGCATTTCAGGCAAGACACAGGAAGTCATCCTCCCGCTTTACTCAGCCTTGGTGAAGTTGCAGCCGGAGTACTGCATCTAGTTCTGAGCTTCACACTTTAGAAAGGATGTGGAGGAGCTTGAGAGAGTCCAGAGGAGAGCCACACACATGAACAAAGGTCAAGAGAGCAGGCCTTATGAGGAGAGGCTGAGACATGGGACTCTTCAGCCTGGAGAAGAGAAGGCTCAGGGGGAACTTGGTGGCAGCCTATAAGTATATAAAGAGTGTGCATCAGGAACTGAGAGAACATCTGTTCACCAGAACACCCCAAGGGAAGACAAGGTCTAATGGTCACAAACTGCTGGAAGCCCATTTTAGACTGGACATAAGGAAAAACTTCTTTACCATCCGAGTCTCCAGTATCTGGAATAGATTCCCTCCAGAACTGGTACAAGCACCTACTCTGGATATGTTCAAGAAATGCCTGGATGGTCACCGTGCTGGGGTCATCTGACCCCAGCTGACTTCCTGCTCTTTGGGCAGGGGCTGGACCCAATGAGTGCACAAGGTCCCTTCCAACCTTAACGTCTATGAAATCTATGACCTTTAAAAAATATGTGTGCTCCTGATCTGCACACAAGATTTTCTGATTTCCCCTCTTTTTCATATTAATTAGATGGAAACTCCACAAAGAGTTAGTCCAGCCATTCTTCAACTCTGCCTCTCCTACACTCTTATAGCCAGACTTGCCCCAAGCTGGAATAAGGCTGGTCATCTTCTGGTACAAGGTATCTGACTCTACTAAATCAGAGACTGACCCTTTGATTTTCAGTGTTTTATCTATGCATATGCTGTCTATTTTTTGATTATTCATGTTCTTTTAATATGTTTGCATATCTCTGTTCCTTTATCCCTGTTTAATGAATAATGTAAAAGGACAAGTAATTATTTTTTCTATCTTCCTTCTACTTTGTGAATTGATTTAATACACAATTAAATTGTCCATAGCATACACGTTAATATGTAGTACAGTAAATAACTTCTTCAAACACTGGATGTATTTTTCAAAATTGGAATTTCATAATGAACATATTTTTATACAGTAGTAGCACATTTCTGTCCTGGGTATAACATTAAATTTCATCCAACAGTCCTGGGTATGACATTAAACAGCATCCAGCAGTAGGGCAGTTTTGACTGTCAGGATAATAGTTGTTGGCTAGAATCAGTGCAGGGGGCTTATGGTTTGGACAAAGTTTGGGACAAGGTTCCACTTCTAGCCACTTAAGTGATTTGGTGGGGTGGATTAATGACCTACCTATAACGTGCAGCGTCTATCAACTGCACCCTATAGGTACTCTGAGTGGAGATCAGAGATAATTAAGCAGTAAAAATCTCCACAAACTCAAGATAACAGTTAATGAATTCAACAGTTTATTAAAACAACTTCTAAATTCAGCAATTATAATTACTACAATGGCTATATAACTGCCTATACAACTATACTATACTTAGCTTACACTAATCCTAAAAGAACATACATATATACAAATTATAACAATAACACAAGACACACCTACATACACAAAACACTTGCAAAGGGTGATATTTAATTTACCTCAGGTGTTGTGAGCCAATACCGCCAGAGGGAAAGTAAGTATATCCTGGGACTGGCTCAAACAACATCCTGTTGCAGTATCTTCGATGAACTTCTTCTATTGTTAGATCCGACAGCGTCAGGTAAGTGGAATCCACAATATAATCTGAATACTCATTCACTAACCAACAAACACTCCACTCTTCACCATTCAGCCAGACAACCAGGATTCACATTACTCAATTAAGCATCAAACTCTTCAGACACCAGGGGCTGCGCACTGTGGCTACCCTCAGAAACCTCTACCCGAACACTCTTAAAAAAAAAATCCCACTCTCTCGCAGGAACTGCATACAACCCACCATGACAAACTGACACTTCCCACAGCACCAAAATCTGTGCACCACCCTCTCTGCATCTGAGCAGACTCAGCCTTAGAGAGCTAGATCTGGACCTTTTCCATTGTCTGCAAGCTGCAGGGTTACCAAGAGGTCAATGAATACAGTGGCCTACATAGTGAGACAAGTACTCTCTAGCTACAGCAGTCTCTGGGTTGTCCCTTAGGCAAGGCATTGCGCCCATCACCCTCCTTTACCAGGGTTGCAGTTGAAGCCACTGGGTGCACAGGACGGTGGATCATTTAATCTGGTGGATGCCTGGGACAACAATAGAGGAGACTTGCTCAAGTTAGCTGAACACTGCAAACTGCAACAAGAAGTGGCAAACTATTGAAGAAGGTGTGACGGTCATTTACTCAGGAGGCCAGATGCACAAAAGAGGATTTGGGTTGATTTTGGATGAAGAAACCTCAAAATGTTAGCATGATTTTTGGGCAATACCTGATAGAGTTATGCTTGTGAAAATAAAGGCTAAACCTTTCAATATTGCAGTAATACAAGTCTACACACCGACAGCTGAAAGTGGGGAAGAGGACATTGATCATTTTTATGAAAACCTTGATAAAGTGAAAAAGCAATGCAAACCTCAAGAAGTGGTCATAGTGATGCGAGTTCTAAATGTAAATTGGTTGGGAATGAGCGGATAATGTTGTTGGACTTCATGGACATGGAGAGAAAAATGAAAGAGGAGTGAGATGGATTGATTGATGTGTTGCAAATGATCAAGTCATTATGAACACCTGGTTTGAACACCACCCGAGAAGAAGGTATACATGGAAAAGTCCTGGTGATAACTATAGAAACCAAATTGATTACATCATCACCATCAACAAAAGATTCAGAAATGCAGTTCAACTATCAAAAACTTACCCGGGGGCTGACTGTGGAAGTGATCATGTACCTGTAGTACAAGATAAGGTTGAGGAAACCTAAGAAACCAAAAGTGACAAAGAAGCTTGATTATTCAATTCTAATGGGAAAAGATCTGATTAAAGAAGGGTATACAGTTGCAGTCAAAAACCATTTTCAAGAACTTGAAGGTGAACGAAATATGTCAAACTGGGACATTTTCCAGGAAGCACTCATTGAAACAGCCAAGGAGGTTATTCAATCAAAGTAAGGCAAAAGAAACAGAAATGAATGACTGAAGAAATCCTTGAACTTAAGCAAGAAAAAAGGAAGATGAAAACCTGTAGTTTGACAGGGTATAAGAAACTGGATAAAAGAATTTGATCAACATGTAACAGAGAAAAGGAGAAATGGCTTAATGAAAAATATACAGAGATAGAAAAACAGAAGGATGAAGATGTTACATCGATGTATAGGAATATCAAAGACATCACAGGCAAAGGAGGATGCACTGCTGGGAGACTATAAAAGCCAAGAATGGTGACGTAATCATGGAACAAGAACAATTATTGAAAAGATCGAAAAAGCATATTGAAGATTTATTCCATGACAGATGAGAAGTGCCATCTATTAAGAAGAACGTGAAAAGTTTGAAAATTCTTAAGTCAGAAGTATGAACAGTTATCAACTGAATGAAAAATAATAAAGCTACAGGACCAGAGGAGATTGCAGTAGAACAAATAAAATGTTTGGAAGAGTTTGGTATAGAAAACTTAACAAATGTTATGAGTGAGATTTACGAAAGTGGAGAAATACCTGAGGATCTCAGTAAAACTATCTTTATTGTGCTCCCCAAAAGACCTGGAGCCATTGAATGTGAATTCCATTGAGCCATCAGTTTAATGAGCCATGTGACAAAGATCCTATTGCAGGTGCTGATGATGAGAGCTAGAAGTAAAATAAACTGGAGATTGCAAAAGTTCAGTGTGGTTTTGGTGAAGATCGAGGTACAAGAAATGCTATCTTTATGGTATGAATGCTTTCGGAGAGGGCAATAGACATGAAGAAAGACATTTACATATTTTTTAATGAGTATACCAAAGCTTCTGATAGAGTCAAGCATAAGGAGTTAATGAAAATGCTAGAAGACCTGGATATTAATGATAAAGACTCGAGCATTTTAAGAAAACTTTATTGGGAGCAAACTGCAGCAGTGAAGATAGAAAATGAACTAAGTGATTTTGTCCAAATTTAGAGAGGTGTGAGGCAAGGCTGTGTCTTTTCACCTGACTTGTTCAACTTGTATAATGATGAAGATTGAAGATTCACCAAGGGTGATCACTGGTGGACAGAATTTGAACAGCTTGCATTATACTAATGACACAGTCTTAATAGCTGATTCAGAAAAGAAGCTGCAAGAAATTTTAGATAAAATTGTTAGTGAAAGTGAGAAGAAGGGTAAGTATCAACTGTAGAAAAACAGAATGTACAGTAATAACAAAGAAGAAGATTGTCCCTGTGTGTAACATTAAAGTAGGTAAGGAACAGATAAGGCAGGTCAATAAATTTAACTACTTGGGAAGCTGGATAACATCAGATGGTAAATGGGATCATGACATAAAATAGCGAATAGGGATTGAAAAAGATGCATTTCTGAAAATGAAAAAGATACTGACATTTCTATGGGGACAAAGCTAAAAGTTTTGGATTTCTATGTTATACCAGTCCTCATGTATGCATCAGAATGCTGGACAGTATTGCCAAGTATGGAAAAGAGAATTGAAGCAACTCAGATGTGGTTCTTAAGGTGCATCTTGAAGGTATGTTGGACAAGTCACATCTCCAGTTAAGATATTTTGTCAAGAGCAGGCTGTAGGAGGAGGCTGCTGATTAACCTTAGAAAGAGACAGTTGGAGTGTCTCAGACATGTTATAAGGAAAGAGGAAACTGAAAGTCTGGTTGCAACTGGAAAGACTGAAGGAAGGAGAAATTGTGGAAGACAGAGGTTGACTTACATCAAGAGTCTATCTAAATAGATGAATGTATTGACACTGGAAATTCTGTATGCCTTAAGAGAAGAGAACTGTGGAAGACCATGGTTGCCAATGTCCTGTTTGGATATGGTGCCTAGAGAGAGAGAGAGAGAGAGATCACATTTCTCTTATCCAAACTGAAAGGGACATGCTTTAAGACAATCTCATTCCACTAAATTTCATCATACTAATTGGTAGTAGTCTAGTCACCTACCAGACTAGCAAAGTATAGTCAGATACAGTTGGTTAACATTTCTAACACAGCTGCACACTGTTCACATTCTCACTGAAGAAATTTATAGAATATTATACTGTTTAAACTGATATAAAACTGGTGTTTTATATTTTAAGGTACAATATTATCGGACTCTTTAATATGAATCACTTTTTCTTTATTATTATTTTTTTAATTCCAGATTTAAAAGCCAATAAGAAAAATTGTAAAAGAGAGAACTAGTTTCATTTAAGCAAACATTTAACACTAACAAAGGGCTATAGATATATATCTACAGAAGGTCTTTTACAATTTAAGGACTAAATTGTAGCTTGTTCTGCTAATGAAGAATAGGGATCAAAGAGTTTTCTTTCCTTCCACTAACTACACTGTACATGCCCCACACATGGTATTAGCAAAAAATCTTGTGGCCCCAAAGAGAGAAGAGAAATATTACACACTAGCCCAATTAGCTCCGCAGTAAAGTCTCAGCGTCTACACATGTGGCTGTATTAGGCCACAGGAAACTAATTAACTCTGCCATAAGTTAGTACTTGTAAACACAAGTACTGTCCTACAGCAGCATTCTTTCATGCTCCACAACACATGTGGAGATTCTGACAGGGCTGGCTGGGGCACATGGGTGCTTCAGTGAGGCGCTGCCTGCCAGCTAGCCCCGCAATGGAGCACCCTTGTGCCCCAGCCAGCCCCTCTGCAGCTCGCTGAACCGGTTTGAAGCAGCCCCAGGCTGGCAGGCTGACCCCCACCAGGCCTTCTGCCAGCCAGGGCTCCTCCAACCCAGTTCAATATGCTGCAGTCCAAGCACACATGGAAACACAGTGTCCAGGAGCAATAAACTCCGGAGAGATATGCACTGGAGTTTATTGTGTTGCATTTGTTTCACATGTAGATGTGCCCACTGTGGAACATTTTGCCCCAAAGGCACGGTGTTTTCTTACGTATTCTGCATGTTTCTGCTTTGTGCTCCCTTGTGCAAATAAAGTAACAATTTTTTTCTTAATTCTCATAGTATCATCTAAAATCAAATTTATTCTTAAAATTTTGTTTCTACCAGTAGGTTTATATGGATGATTGAATCTAGAGTAATATTTCATTCCAACTCCTTTTTAGAGCTTGAGGAATTTGTTAAGGGTTACCCAATAAAAATAATTCCATATACAAATTTCTCATTGAAAAAACCACTCATGTAAATAGTAGTTCATAATATGTTTTCATACATATTTCAGTGTTTGTTTATATGCTATTTTATTTGTAGTTCAATGAAAAATTAACTGATATGCATTTTTCTTTTTGTATAAAGAATAACAAATCTGACAAGCAAAATAAGCTATGCACTTTCTCCTTCCCTACATAAAGACATTTTTAAATAAAGGCTTTGGACATATATTTTATAAAAATAATGTACATTTCTTTTATTTATGAAGGGAGAGATTTCGTGTCTCATAAGGGAAAACAAAATGCTGTTGGTAAGTACAATATTTTGTTAAAATATTAAGTATGCTTGCACTTAAGCAAAAATACTTTATTTCTAGAGCTGCTATGATTTTATTTTGAAATAGCAATATCAATCATATAATCCCTACGTTGTATGTCTCTATGGCCCCCTCTACTCATTACAGCTATAGTGCAATTAACTGATTAACTGGGACATAACCAGTTAATTACCTGATTGACTAATTACCTTAAAACCAGCTACATATGCAAAGTACTTATCACACAATAGAAAGCTCCAACTAGCCGTAAAGTTAGACCTCAAAAACATATACTAACTCTATAGCTGGTTGCTATTGAGCTTTCATTGGCACGTGTAGTAGGGTCTCCCCTGGGCTGAGAGTCCCAACCTCAGGGGTGCACCATGTCCAGCATGAAACCCCCAGGCCCTGGGGACTGAAACAGCTACAATCCCTAGAGCTCAGGAGTGTGTGAAACCCATGGGCCCTGAGGCAGCCACAATCCCCAAGGTGTGGGGGTTTCATGCACCCCCGAGCCTGGGAAACAGTGGCTACCATGATTCTCCAGCCCTGGTGCTGCATGGGGCACCCCCACAGCTGGGAGCCCCCTCAACTTGCCCAGCTTGCTTCCTGCCAGTGCAGGGGGAGCCCATGATCAGGCTCCCCCTGCACTGGCAATAAGGAATGATGGGATCTAATGTGTGATCCCACAATCAAGCCTCCTGCCATGCATATGTGGCATGGCCGAAAGTGCAATTGGGTGGATCATGTATTAGATACCATTGTGCCTTTACTGCACATGTAGAGGGGGGAGTTTTCATATCAAGAGGGAAACAGAGGGGAGCCTTTTTACCCATTCATTTAAATTTACAGTATTCAAAACATCAGGCCATATGTTAATTAATTAACCTGTTATGAAGGTATACATAGGAATAAAATATTTTACAGCAAAACCTCCCCTATATTTCAAAACCTCACTAAAGACTACATTTGCAAATGCTGCCACCTATATTTGCAAGAGGGAATTATGTTCAGAAGTCGGAGTTGCTTGTACAAGTAGGCATTTGTATCCAAGCACCACCATGTGCACAAAACTAAGTTACTGACGGTATTTATGTGTGTGTACATAATTTTATGGATGCAGTTTAATCATTGATATTAGAAAATAGAGACCAAAGTTTGTTTTAATTTTTAAGACTGAAAATGCAATTAGTTGTTTTTCAGTGTTAAGGAATTCTTACCTTGTAGATTTTCAAACCACTACAATGAGCAGAATCATAAGCGGTTCCTTTAATATAAGCACATTGGCTTTGCATTTGAGAAAATTACATTAGTAAACAGTTTGGGGGGCTTTACTTTTAATACAGTTATGGACCTCAACGTAACAGAAACCCAAGTTTGCATCAGTTTGGAGGCTTTCACAATTCGACTACCGCCACCTGAGGTACAGAACTTTTATCAATCATTTCATTCATCCTGTATGCTTCTTTATGGTCTTATTTATCTACAATGCTTTATTTAAGAATAACCAATAGGGAAAATGTGTTTACTCCCTGTTGCTTTTGGACATTACTCAAACTATTTTCTTATCATAGGATCATAGGAAAGTAGGGTTGGAAGGGACCTCATGAGGTCATCTAGTCCAGCCCCTTGGTTAAGTTAGGAGCACCCCTGACTAGACCATCCCAGCAAAGTGTCTGTCTAACCTGCTGTTCAAAGTTTCCAGGGATAGAGATGCCACAACTTCTAGGTAGTCTGTTCCAATGTCTGACCATCCTCATAGTCAGAAAGTTCCTCCTAATCTCCAACCTAAATTTCCCATGCTGAAGCTTGAGGCCGTTTCATAGTTTCATAGTTGGTAGGGTCAGAAGGAACCTGAGCAGATTATCAAGTCCGACCCTCAGCCATGGCAGGAAAGAATACTGGGGTCAAATGACCCCAGCAAGGTGTTCATCTAGCCTCCTCTTAAAGACCCCCAGGGTAGGAGCCAGCACCACTTCTCTTGGAAGTTGGTTCCAGATCCTAGCCACCCTGACAGTGAAGTAGCGCCTCCTGATGTCTAGCCTGAATCTACCCTCTGCCAGCTTGTGGCCATTATTTCTAGTCACTCCTGGTAGCACTCAGGGGAACAGGGACTCCCCCAGTGTGTGCTGGTCCCCCCGACTAGTTTGTAAACGGTCACTAGATGCCCCCTCCGCTTTCTTTTGTGGAAGCTGAACAGGTTCAGGTCCCTTAGCCTCTCCTCATAGGGCCTTCCCTGCTGCCCCCTGATCATGCGAGTGGCCCTCCTCTGGACCCTCTCCATGTTGTCCACATCCCTCCTGAATTGCGGCACCCAGAACTGAACGCAGTACTCCAACTGCGGCCTGACCAGTATCGCAGAGGGGGAGGATCACCTCCTTGGACCTGCTTGAGATGCATCTGTGGATGCATGACAAGGTACGGTTGCCTTCCTGACCATGTCCCCACACTGCCAGCCCATGTTCATCCTGGCATCATTGATGACTCCAAGATCCTTTTCTCCCTCTGCACTGACAAGAAGGGAGTTCCCCAGCCTGTAGGTATGCTCCTGGTTCTTCCCCCCCAGGTGCAGTACCTTGCACTTGTCAGTGTTGAAACCCACCCTGTTCTCATCCGCCCACCCCTGTAACCTGTCTAGGTCTGATTGCAGCCTATTCTTCCCTTCTAGCATGCCCACTTCCCCCCACATCTTAATGTCATCTGCGAATTTGAACAGGGTGCTTTTTACCCCCTCGTCCAAGTCGCTGATGAAGATGTTAAACAGTGCAGGCCCAAGTGCGGAGCCCTGGGGAACCCCACTGCCCACATCTCGCCAGGTCGAATAAGACCCGTCCACCACCATTCTTTGGGTGCGGCCCTCCAGCCAGTTAGTGATCCATTTGACTGTGTAGGCGTTGACACCACAGTTCCCTAGTTTTTTAATGAGAATGGAGTGAGAGACAGTGTCAAAGGAATTCCTAGAGTCCAGAAATACTACGTCCACTGCTACCCCTGCATCTAAGGGTTTTGTGACCTGGTCATAGAATGCCACCAGGTTGGTCTAATAGGACCTGCCTCTGATGAACCTATGTTGGTTGCCCCTAAGCATAATCTCCCCTGCTGGCCCCTTGCAGACATGTGCCAGGATAATTCTCTCAAAAAGCTTACCCAGGATCAAGGTAAGACTAACTGGCCTAGTTTCCTGGGTCCTCCTTCCTCCCTTTTTTGAAAATGGGAACCACATTGGCCCTTTTCTAGTCCTCTGGCATCATGCCAGAGCACCACGAGTACTCGTAAAGCCGTGCCAGGGGTCCCACAATGACCTCTGCTAATTCCCTCAGCACTCTGGGGTGGAGATCATCAGGACCAGCTGATTTAAATACATCCTGTCCCTCCAGAAGTTCCCTGACTAGGTCCTCACTGACCCTGGGCCTGGGTGCACCCTCCCAGAGCCTATGGGGGTCCCGGTGTGGGGGGTGACCCTGCTCATAAAATGGAGGCAAAGAAATTGTTAAATAGGTTAGCTTTGTCGTCTGGTGTGACAACCAGATCTCCTAGTGCATCTTGCAGAGGCCCGACATTACCCGTTACCTTCTTTTTACAGCCTATGTATTTAAAAAAGGACTTCTTGGTGTCCCTTGATCTGGGTAGCTAATCCCAGTTCCATCTCTGCCTTGGCCTTCCTGACCGCCCCCTTACAGCCCCAAGCAACCGAGGTATAGTCCTCCCTGGTGATAGCTCCTCCTTTCCATTTGGTGTATGCCTGCTTTTTAGCTAGGAGACATTCCCGTATGCTTTTGGTGAGCCATGGGGGCTTTTGCGTCCTCTTGCCCCCTTTGATCCGTGTCAGGATTACCTCACTTTGGGCTTAGAGGGTCGTCTCCTTAAGGAACAACCACTGTTCTTGGACACCTGACTCCTTTCCCCTCCGGGACCTCAGTGCCTCCCTGACTATTTTCCTTACCTCATTGAAGTCCGCCCTCCTGAAGTCCAGGACTGCTGCCTTGCTGCAGGCTTTTGCTACCTTGCGCTGGATGGTGAATTCCAGTAGGCAATGATCGCTGTCACCCAGGTGGTTGAGCACCTGCAGACCCCTCACTAGGTCATCACCCATGGCCAGGACCAGGTCCAACAAGGCATCTCCTCTGGTGGGGCTGTGTACCTCCTGGGTTAGATGGAGGTCCTGTATCTCAGCTAGGAACCTACGTGATGGTCAGACCTGGCTAACTGTACTTCCCAGCAGATGTCTGGAAAGTTCAGGTCACCCATGATGACCACGTCCTTTGACCTAACTACCTCTGTGAGCTGACTTAAGAATTCCTGGTCTAGCTCTTCCCCTTGGTTGGGTGGTCTGTAGTAGAACCCCACCGTTAAGTCCCTTTCCCCTCAACTTCCTTGTATTCTAACCCAGAGCACTTCAGTGTGCCCCTCCTCTGACCCTGTGCTACTTGTTGAGGATGTGTATTTCTCCTTGACGTAGAGCGCCACACCCCTACCTTTCCTACCTGTCCTATCCCTCCTGTACAGCCTATAGCCCTTGATATTTACCGCCCAGTCCTGTGTTGGGTCCCACCACATTTCAGTGAGCCCCACTATGTCTGGGTTGGTGTCAGCTAGCAGGAGGGTAAGTTGCTCCTAGTCTTGTCCCAAATGGTCACTTTATTCTCATCTTCTACTAAATAAATATACCGTGTATTAGTATGTGTCTCTATACCCATGGAAGTGCCACAGTCATGCCAATCAGATCTTTCTGGGAGGAAGATTCTCTTCGAGTTATTGCTTAAAGAAGCCTTCAGAAAAAAATAGTATGATCATGATTATCAGGCACAGGTATTTTTACAAGACTATATTTCCCAGGAGATAATCTTTCCTTCACTTTCATCCATTAACAGCATGAAGTAACATCTTATACTCAGTCATTTATTAAGAACAACCAAGGAGGTCCTGTTTTCCCCCAAAATGGGAGCAGTGTGGACTGTGCTCTGAATATGGTTAACAACAATCTTGCTTCAGAATAAAAAAATAGTATTGGTTCTGACAAAGATATCACCTTTGCTGAATCCAGCTTAGCATACTTAATCATCTGGTGCACTGATTACTAGACTGCAATCGAAACTTCTGTCTTCTCAAATAGTCTTGGTTCTCAGAAGAAAGGGGTTCCACTTTTTCCTCTTGTTGAGCAACATACAATTTGACCTTGAAAATGACAGAAGCAATAGTGATAGAAATTGTCTGGGTATGGTTTCATCATTAACTATTGATGCAGTACAGAAGTGTGGGAAAATATTTCAGTGCTTGGGACAGAGTTAGGGAGGCAAGGAATTATGCTGACCACTGAGGAGCAGAGGCAGCGAGCTTAAATTGTTGCAGCTGAGAAAGGGGCTCACAGCATGCCGGTATAGCATCCTGGCTAGCACAGACATCACGGGGCCACTCCTGGTGCCCCATTTGTTGCCCGTCTATGCCTGGATATTCTTCTGGTGCAGGACTGCCTCCCATGGCAAAGTCTGACTTGGGGGAGAGTGAGGTTGCATTCCACTCATCTTGTTCTCTCCCCTCTCCCACAGATACACTACAAAGCATGGGGATGTGCCTGCCTGGCTCCTATGGTTGTGCTGCCCCTGCCGTGGAAAAGATACCTGAGGAGTCTTGGTGCCCCCTCCAAGTCACTGCCCAGGGCTGGTGCCCTGCTTATCCCACCCTACTTACACTACTAACTCAGTACAATCCTAGCATGGGACATTTTTTTCCTTACAGACTGAAGATACCATGCTGATAGCAAGGACTTCCTTGTTCCTAGATGGATGCAAGCCATGACAGGCAATGCACTGACTCTCAATAACTCTCCTTATTTAAAAAAGTGTTTAACTTCAGCTTGTCCTTTAGCAAGACTTTTGGGTGTTGATTTTCCTGAGGGACAAAGGCACATAGTTGCTGGGTACTTTTTGCTTGGCTTTTATGCTTATCTATTTAAGTCTCCAGTTGCCTAAGGCTAGAACATGTTATTTTCTGAGTTGCATTTAAAAGAACTGATGAGTTAATATGGGACTGCTCTTTATCTGCAGAACTTTATGCAGAGTTCAGTATCTTTACATATTAATTTCCATAAGACTTGCCCCTCAACTTTTAACATTTAGAATTCCTGAAAGTGTAAGTATTAAGTGAGTAGTAAATGAATAACCATATATTCATATTTGTATGCATTTAAGTTTTCCCTTTGCATAAATTTAGCAGGATTTTTAAAAATAATTAATATTTTATTTTTAAAGCTGGAAGACTTTGATATTTCAACACATGTCATAAAGATCTTCAACAATAATGAAAATTCAGTCATTCAGAGACATTCCATTTTAAGTAATTGGTGCTATGTCTTACCAAGGTAGGATTTTATTTAAATTTTAACAAAGTCAAACAGCCACCTGCATTGTTTGCAACAAAAACTGTGAAGTTAGGATTAGTGACTAGAACCTGGGAAACAGCTTTAAACAAAAGTGAAACTGACCAATCTATTTCCCTTACTTAAATTAAAAAATACAGAATATAAATAAAGTGTATAAACAATGATTCAGTTAGTGTTAAAAGTAATATTGTGTGTACGTATGTATTCAATATATAGAAAGTGAATGGTAAATTGGATTTTTTTTAACCTTTTAACTTTAGTAATGCATGGTTATGATGTAGAAAAAATGTTTTCTCCTCTGTTTTACCAGAATGTACTACTTAAAAGAAAAATATTTCCACTTCTTTTTTCAAGCTGTTCCTGTTTTCACGTCCCTTTTGTTATATCACTGTAAAAAAGGGGGGGGAGGGGTGCAATTTAATTTTTTGTTTTATTTATTCTGCACACACGATAATTGTGCTGCAAATAATAATACAAAACTGTAGGTCACACTTTTACCAAACTATTGTTTTATATTCTAAGAAAAAAATGGTCTATATTAAAATTGATGTTGTTGTTTCACAAATGAACTTCTGTCATCATGACATTCTGAGCACAAATGTCCTAGTTTCAAAGTTTGTACAGGCAGTGGATTAAACAGGTTCTAACCAAAAAAAAGTTGTATACAAGCTGAATAAAATTGCTTCCCCTATCAGACCCCCATCCTGCACTAATGTCAGGTTGATTTGATCTACATAATTCCCATAAAGTTATAAATAAAATCAGTGAGCGCATCTACACATTCATTAATGTGCCTTAGATACTGTACATGTAGTTTAGTACTCACTTAATAAAGTACTAAGTAAATGCATAATAACTAGAGTTTCTGCACAGTAATGCCAGTGCACAATTATTTTGTGATGCTTACTGTATATTAGTCTAATAACACTGCACAGTAGGCTATGAGCACAGTTTTAACCACCGCACTACTATGCAGTGTTAGTAGGATAATGCGCAGTCAGCGCCTTGTGTAGACTCACGGACTATGTAGTTTCCATACCAAACCAAGTGACATTTCTGCACTTTGCTTTTAAAACATTCTGAGTGTTATTAAATATGTTGTATGTGATCTTAGTGATATATGGCACTTTTTTTTATCCTCATGCATACAGCTTGAAAATGGGTCAGATCATTAGTATCAGCCACATAAGTCCACCAGAGTCTCCTTTTCGTTCATATAAAGACTTCCAGATGCACTGGAAGAGTCTGGTAAGAAAAAACACAAGGGATTTTCTTAATCTTGTTTCACTTTTGAGACATGTTTTTATATTTGCCAAATTGTTTATACAATATGCCATTTTATATGCATTTTCTTTTTAGTATGGGTATAGTCTTCCAGAGGATCATGGAGAAACAAAAACATATTGCAATGTTTACTTCAAATTGATAGGAGAACAGCTCTTTACATATCCTTTTAATACAATTTACTTATGTTTCATTTCCTTTTCCTTTATTATGCTAGTCAAGATACAAACTTTAATCCATATTAAGCATCAAATTTTTTGCAGGTGTAATTTCATTGAAGTCAGTGGAATTATTTCAATAGAGGATCTAGTCCAAAATAGTTACTCTGAGCCCTGTTTTATTCTGAACCTGGTGTTATTAATGAGTGTTATCAGATCTGATCTAATCTGCTTTGCTGGAGATCTTTCTTGAGTAGTGCTGATACATGAATAGGAGTTCTTACTGGGTCACAAAAACTGAAATAGATTTTCTTTCGCGTTGTACAGGCACTGGATTAGATCAGTTTTAACAAAACAGAGTTGTACACAGTCTTTAAAAAATTACTTCTTCTCTCAGGCATCAATCCTGCAAACATTTAAACATCTACATATGTTTAAAGATAAGCACATTCATAAGTATTTGCAAGATCAGAACTGGAGTCAGATTTATCTCCATAATACCCATGAAGTTATAAACCTCCATGTTCCTCAGTATTCAATAATCTTCCATGAAAACAAGATAGACAACATCATAATTAATCTGAAAACGAAATCACAAAAACTCCGTTTAAAAAAAAATAAATCATTTCAGACCTATGGAAAAAATAAATAGTATTGACTTAATTCTTTTCTGTCCAGGCCACTCTTTAAAGAGGGCACTCTCTAAGATGAGATCTCATTTTTTATTTGCCTTGCAATCTTTGTAATCTGATAAGAAGAATCCTCCGTACTCTGTATATCATTTTTTTAAATCCCTCAATCAATCATTCAGATACTGCAAAATATATACTGTAAATCACGGATCGGCAACCACCAGCACATGTCAGAGCATGGCATGCAAGGTCGTTTTGCTCAGCATGCCACAGCCAACCTGGACTGTGAACAGCTGCTGCCAGCCACTGAGCCTGGGACTGCTTGCAGCAGGTGGCTAGGAGGCTGCAAGCCCTGTTGCAACCAACCTGGGCTCCACAGCTGGCAACAGCTGCCCAGCACCTGGGCCAGCAGCAGCCAGGAGGCTGCAGACAGCTGCACGGGTCTCTGGAGCCCCAGCACTGGCTCAGTGGCAGCAGTGGCTGCACACACACCTCCAGGCAGACAGTGGAAGAGGGTTCTGGGGCAGTGCAACCCCGGCCCCTCCCCCACCATGTACCCAAAGACATGCGTGCAGCCACCACCACCATGGAGCTGGTGCCAGTGCTCTAGAGCCCAGTGCAGCTGTTTGCAGCCTGCCGGCCAGCTGCTAAAGCTGTCCAGCACCCAGGCTAGCTATGGTAGGTAGTCAGAAGGCTGCAAACACCTGCACTGGGCTCCAGAGCCTTTGGCTGGGTTCCATGGTGGCAGCAGCTGCACATGTGCCTCTAGGCCAGCCCATCACCCGCCATTCACCTGGAAGTATGCGTGCGTGCAGCCACCACCAGCAGTAAGGATCAGGCTTCTGTGGTCTGTCCCTGGCATGCCAAGTCAAGGCATGGGTTAGGGAGAGCTTCAAAGATTCGGACAGTCCGGGCTCGCTGCTGCAGGGAACAAGACCCGGATTCCATCCTGATAAGTAGGGGGCAGAGGAGTGGGAGCTTGAGGAGAGATGGAAGGGACCATGGGGGGACCTCTGCCAGGCCCCATCCCCTGCCTGCTCCCTCAGTCTCCCTCAGTACCCCCAACCCCCGCCTGCTCTCCCAGACTGTCCCGTGGCTGCCCCTCCTGGCCCCAGCTCCTGGGTCTTTAAAAAAAAAGCTCCTACTCACCGGCTGCTGTCAAGCAAGGAGTGATCTCCAATGCCCTGCACTGCCCTGTGCTGCATGGGGGCTCTGCCACTAGCCCCCCAAACCCTGCCCACTCTTCCAGCCTCCCCATGGCTGCCCCGCCCACCCCAGCTCCCAGCTCTTTCAAGGAAACAAAAAAAAAGCCTGCACTCACTGGTGGCTGTAGCAGCCTTGGGGTCCCCATGCAGCATGAGACAGTGGGAAGCAGTGGGGATCACCCCCCCACCTGGCAGCAGCCAGTGAGTGCCAAGCTTTTTTTTAAAATTTCTTAAAGAGTCAGGAGCTGGGGCTGGCAGGGCAGCTGCAGTGGTGGTGGGGGAGCTGGAAGAGCAGGCAGGGGTCGGAGGTCAGCAGCCAGTGGGTGCTGGGCTTTTTTTCTCAAAGAGCTGGGAGAGTGGGCGGGGATGGGGCCGATTCAGTGGTCGCCAAATCTCCAAATCAGATTTAGCCAAATCGATTCGGCACACTGATTCGAATCACTAAATAGAACACTGTCCCCCGAATCAGCTGAATCCAAATCCGAAGCAAATACTAGTCACTTCACACAGGCCTAATTTGGATATCCTCCAGAGAGAGATTTTTTTTAAATAACCAAAAATTGAACACAGCTTGAAACAGAATATAAATATTTAAGCTTCTACCTAGTTATAAGAAAAAAATAGCCAGTTTCAATGCTTCGATTTATACCGAGTATATCATCTTTATTTTTCAAGAATTCTTGTTGATTTCAGGGGGGGCTGCCCAAGGGATAAAGTATTACTCGGAGGAAGTGAAGGTGAATATTGTCTAAGTAGAGTAAAAATTTCAAAACTTTAAAATATTATTTTAAAATAGCAAAAATAGGCATGTTTGTTTGTTTTGCTATTGAAGACTTCTTAATGTGTTAATAGAGTCATCCTCTAAATAAAATGATTAATAATTTCATTATACACAATACAAAAGGTCTTGTTATCTTGTCCTTAACACTTATTCAGGTACCCTATCAATTGCATCAGAAGCCAACCAGTACAGTATTTTCCTAGAGTACATCTAGAAGGTATATTAAATACCTTTCTTTCTGACCTGAAGTCTAATCTTCCTCACCTATGTGGATTTCCAGTACAGATGACAAGTAAACCACTATATGCTACACAGGAACTTGCCAAGCCTCTAATGCATGTAAGAAATTTGCATCTTAATATGCATGGGACCCTGGAGGGGGAGGGCTTTTGGGGGTTTCTGGGGCTCCTGTGCATCTTGTGGGAAGGGGTTTCTCCCCTACGAGGGTTTGAGCTCTCCCTGCAGTGGTGCAGGGGGTGGGGTATTGCCTGGTTCTTACAGCCTTTATGGGACCCTGGGGTGTTTCTTGGGTCATTGGACCTGAGGCAGTCTCATGGGAGGGGTTCCTTCCCCTGGGGGTTTCAGCACTCTCTGCTTCTCTGAGCTGCTGGGGGCTGCCTCCGGCTGTGCAAGGCACACATGGGAGCTGGAGAGAAGGGGCAGTGTAGAGGAGCTGAGCTGTAAGCCTTGGCACCAGCCTGAGCAAGCCTCAGTTCTGCAATCTGGAGCAACAGTGGCAGCAGCAACATCACTGGCAATGTGTAGGTAGTGCATGCAGGTGCATATGCACCCCCTGAGATTGGCAGTGCACCCCCAGTGGAACATGCTGCTGATACTGCCGGCAGCGCCTGTGGGTGGTCACTACTCACCACACCGCTGCTCCTCCCGCCGCTGCCACTGCCGGTAGCGTCTGTGGGGGGTTGCTGAGCACTGGCTAGCACTTGCCAGCCCGCCACGCCTCCGACACCATGGCCACCTGCAGGAGCTCCCCGCTCAGCCTGCTGCCAACACCGCCATCACTGCCTGTGGGAGCTCCCTGCTGCCATACTACTGACACTGCCACCACCTGCGGATGGTCGCCATGCCCCCCCAGCCTCTGGGGGCACGCGGCATTTATGAGCAACATGGAGCACACCTCTGTGCTGGCAGACCAGATCTGGGAGGGCATGCCTCTCCTATTTGTCATCCATGCTGTCCGGAGTCTGGGAGAGCTGTAGGTGGTCTTATGTGGGGAGGTGTGCAGGGGGTCTGAAAGTGATTAAGGTGGGAGGGTTTCAGGGGCCCAACAGAAGGCTTCCCTTGCTGGCTGCACAGAGAAGAGCTTGCAGTGCTGGCTGTAGTACATGGGTGGCAATGGGGAAATCGGCCCTCCATTATCCCCTTTTGTACCCTCTTTCCCCTACCCAAAAGTACATTTTGAATAAATAAATAAAACCTACATAGACAAAGCTGGTTATTTTTATTTTTGACTTATTTTTTTTAATTACACAAAAGGAAGAAGAATGATTTGAACCATGCTGATACTGGGCTGACTGTAGAGCTAGCTACACCTGGTGGTAGCAATTAGTACTTACTACTTAGAAAGCCCTGGCTAAATACACCTGCAATAAAGGCAAATGAGGTGTTCTGACACCACTACCCCATTTCACTTTGCATTTAAAACACATGCAACAGCTTTAATTAAGGTGATTCCTGCCATTTTAAAAGCACTCTAAAGCCACCCACATGTATTAAGTGACAGCTTCAGTCCCCTTTACATGGTGAAAATCATTACATGTATATTAAGTAGCCTGTTGTTCATGGTAAGAAGTGTACCATCTCATGGAGTTTTTCAGAACATTGTGAAAACATAAAAATGTATGTCCTACAATGAACAACTGTTAATAATTTAGGTAAATGTGTAGCTTCGTATAGTACAGTTTGAGCTTGATATGTATGTTTGCTGCCACAAATATATAACTAAATAGGAAATTAAATTGATGTGCTATGAAGCCAAGTTAGTAATTCTTTTGGACCTGAGTTTTCTATTTTCAGAAACATATCTTATCTCAGTATCATAATGTTACAGCAATATTTTTATTTAATTTCTTTCTTTTTAAAAAGAAAAATCAGAGAAAAATAAATGGCTTGGGATTTTAAGCCTTTAAATAGTTCCAATCAAGTTTTAAATGTCACACTTAAGAGTTGATGGGACTTGAGCAAGGCAAAATTCATAGCTAGTTTAGATAAATGGATTGTAGAAAATTTGAGTTTCACACATTGAGAATTATACTGGATGTGGCGGGGGGAGAAACAAATTTAAATATGAAAGCTGAAAGTATGTAGAATTCAATAGAGATTTGAGAGATTCTAAAAATTTTATATCTGTTTTCTGAACACGGCTTCCATACATGGCTTCTGTTTGTTTCTTTTTTACTGAGGAAGGTTAGGCTGGTTTCCTGGTCCTGCAGTTTCTACAGCTATCTAAACTAATGTATAATGATGTCTGTAGAAGTCACCGCAGACAAAGAGGACAATCTGCCAACTTCTTATAAGTTTAAATTTTGAAAGCACTAAACTAAGATAATAAAAGGGCAGATCGTAACAAGCCTCTAATGTGCCTCCTCTTATGCACCCCAATGTCTAAAATGTAAGCGACTTGCTCCAGGAGGATAATCCAGATTTACAAATTAGATGGTTAAACTTCCTATAAAGTGAATGGGGAGACCTAGGTACTTTCTGAAACCAATCCAGATTGCTTGGTCACCTAGCAAGGAATTGTTTATGGGTAGCCAGTAGGAAACAGACACAGGGAACATCTGAATTCCCACTTCTCCTTGGAGTTTAAACATCTGACTTTGGGCTACATGGAAAGTGCTTCTTTTTTCTTGGGTTCCAGATCACTCACAGGGAAGACAGCTACATGAAGCATTAAACCAGGGGCAGGTAATTATTTCGGGCGGAGGGCTGCTTACCCTCTGCCCGAAGTTTTGGCAAGATATCGAGGGCCGCATGACAGGGGCAGATAAATATTAATTTTCTAAATTTTGGGGGGGTCCCACGGGCTGGATAGAATGGCCTGGTGGGCCACATCCAGCTCCTGGGCCACATTTTGCCCACCCCTGCATTAAATCCTAACTCAGTGGCCTGTGAGGTGGTGTCATCCATCCCATGAGTCTCTCCACAGGCATTGTGCAGCACTGAGAGTAGTAATTGCTGTGGTTTCCAGAGCTGCAGCAAATAACACTACTACCACTCCACCACCAGCAACTTTCCAGTCTTGTAGGGAGCCCAACAGGCCAGATGAAAGTCCCATGCACCAGTGCATGAGGCAAGCAGATGGCTACATCCGACATATGGGACTATACCCACATACAGATCCTGTACACAGATCCCATGTTGCATTTGGCCAGGGGGCTGGAAGGTTGAGTACCACTGTATTAACTGACAATAGTACTGAGTTCAAAATAAAGCACAGTACCACCTGTTCACTTTTACCTAGGAAGTCAGAAAGTAGAGTTCTAGATACAGTTTACTATGAGATCTCCTGCTTCTGATAAAGAGTTCCCCCAAGCACCACGCTGTGGGGTAGGCTGGATAAGAGTTCCACATTTAGGTTTTTCTCCACCCTTCTCTTGAAGCAGACCCTGGGAAGTCACAAAAGCAAGATTCACGAGGCCACAAGGAAAGCAAGCAAGAGGAAGTGTGACTCCTACTTCAGTGGTAGTGGCATTTCTCTGGAAGCAGAGGGGAGTGCTGGATTCTGACTCCTTTATGCCAAGATTATTTCTGTTTTGTTTCTGGAAGATGTATAAAACAGTTCAGAGGCAGAAACTGGGTATATGATTCTGTGGTGCAGCGAAGGATGCCATGCATAAAGAGGAGAGTTCTGGGTTCTGGTCTCCACTGCCAGGCTTGATTATGTATTTTCCATTTATGGGGTGTCTGAAGTAATCCTATATATATTTTGCAGTGAGCTTTGTGATTTGCTTGTAAGGCATTCTTTCTCTGATAAACATGTGTTGCAGGGAGCAAAACCCAAGCCTGCAAATCTGACTGGTAAAAGGATTTGCAAGGTCTCTCTGACTCAGGCTCCTTCGAAGAGAGAGACTTTGAATCTGAGTTCTTCATCACGCAATACAGAAATCAACCACAGGATGGAGCATTTGATCAATCACCCAAAAACTTTTATCTTCTCAAATCACAGTCAATGTACAGAGGAAGGTATTGCTGAGGCCATGAAGAAAACAATCCATAGAAGGCAACCACAACAGACTCCTGGAACATCAGAGCTGCCAGTACACTTGGCTGAGTCTTTAAAACGGTCTAAAAATTCAGCTGTGGAGTCTCAAAGGAAAGGTGCCACCAGAATTATACCAATTTTTAAAGGAAAGCTGCTGCAAATGAATATAAATTCCACAAGAGCCACTGATGGAAATAAAAAGCAGACTGTTTTACAACCTTCCCCAAAGGTTGTAAGGGATGCAACAGCCTCTAAAATATCTGTAGTCAAACCCAGTGTACCTCAGGTATATAAACCTGTCCAAAATATGTCAATCAATCTTACTAATAGCAATGTTCCGCAGAGAGTGGCTGCAAGTGCCGAAGTAAAGCATGGTGGATATTTGCGTGACCATAAAACAGAACCTGGAAGGCAGCTGATGAATTCTCTTCTTTCTAGTGGCTCAGCATCAGAGAGTAATTCAAGTGAAGTTGAACTCAGAAATCAAAACTATTTGTTATCTGGTAGTGTCAAATTGGGACTTCAAACAGAAAGCACCAATCTAGAATTGAACATAGCTGCAGGCCTTAACCCCTGTACAAAAAGAGGAAGAAAATTTGCAAACCAAAAGACCACACAAATTCTTGGTGAAAGGCCTGGATCAAAGAAAATATATCTGCAGATCTGCAAGTCAGACAAAGAAATTACGAATTCCAGGATATTGCAGCATCAAACAAAGAGCCAAACTAAAGGAGTAGAGTCAAATATTCACAGATTGGATTTAAATAGTACAATGTATGCTGTCAAAAGGGAAGAACATCAAGAATCATTGCAACCATCAAAGAAATATAATGCTAAGACAACCAGTCATCACTCACAATTAAACTGTGAGCAGGTACAGTAAATAATACTTATTAGTACTTCCCAATTGTATATAAACTGAGGTTATTTGAGTTGTATGTTCTTTAAAGCTGTACTGGGTAGATTGTGTATTTCTCACATATGCTATAAAGATCTAATTCATCTATAAGGATCAGTTTGGTAGACTGTAAGATTTTATAGCTTGACATTTGTCTTCTCCACAGTTCTTCATTCATTTCTATTGTCTTTTAAAATGTCAAAGCCTGTAGAAATGTGGGATTCTGGCTTATTAGTACCATCACACGCACGGCTTAGCTGCTAGTGTTGGGAGGGGCAGCAATAAAATAAGATTCAGAAAACAGATAGTAGTATGTTCTTTGGACAGCAAGTGATAGATTTAACTGCATAATTCATGGTGGTGTTAATGGCCAATAAAAGTTACGGATTAGGATGGATTATAATGGTGAGATCCAGCAAAAAAACCCATTAATCAGAAGTTGAGCTGTTCTAACAATTGCAATTGTTGTATATTTTACTTAATGAAGAAACAAATCTTCTATTTTAAGATGTTTACAGTGACAGACCCTCTGCAGTGCGAAACGGTGGACTCAAAGCAGATTTACTCCAAAGGAGGGATTCACTTTAAGGAAGTTTCAAAGAAAGGATGTGGCAAAAGACAACAGGTGAAAAGTTTAATAACATCCACAGGGATTTGAACTAAGCAATATGAAGGAAAATATATACTTTCTGAATTCAGCATACTATCTAATTTTATAAAACAGGAAATGCAAAAAGTCTCTTACCAACTCCTGACCATTTGATGAAGTTACATTTTTTTAATTTCATTTCTGCATGGTTCAGAATTTTTTTTTGCCAACTCTAACATTTTGAAACACTCATCCAGAAATTCAATACTAGTTTCTACACGTATTAACTAAAAAGGTTAACAGTTCTCTTTAATTTATGTATATTTTGCTTTTTCTCATTCCACACTAAAAAAAAGTGTAGGAAAATACATTCATAGGAATATAAACTTAATTGTGATTCATTAAACCTCCTGGTAATGGTAGTATAGAATATTTACTCAAATCCAAGACAACATTCTTTCCCTATTTAACATGCCTTGTGGGGGAAGAGGAGGTGGGAGGAGGAAGGCACCTGCTGTGATTCTGACTTTGGCCTTCCCTGGACTTGGGGTTGGAGTCAGAGCCACTGTCCCCATCTCCCCTCCCTCCCTCTTAATCCTTTCAGTCTCACTTTATTCTGAACCACTTCTATTTTTATGATATTGTTACACAAATTGCCAGTTGCTCAGATCACAAACAAGACCTTATAAGCAGGAGATAAGGCAAAGTGCCGTGTTTATTGATTAACACATACACACACCACAGTCATACCCTAATTTCTGTTCTGCTCTGGTATGCGTTACCAGTCTTATCAGTGCTCGGATTAATTTAGTGGCCAGCCAAATTGACCATGAGCAGGAGCTGGGCTCCTGCCAGTCCATCTCATCAGACAAACTGATGCTCTAGGATGACATACAGAACAAGACCCAAAATTGATATGTCTCACCCCATCTTTTATAGCCTTGTCAATTCACCCAGCCCTCTGGGCTTTTGCTGGGTTATCACTGTGTTCTTTCTTGAAGGTCAATTGCCATTGTTTCATCACTGTTCAGGGGCAGATTCTTCTTGTTTGGTCTTTTACCTGTCTGCATTCTGCAGCCAGTCTCCAGCTGATGTTTTCCTTTTCTGCAAACACACTCTCACCCATACAGCACACAAAAGAGTGAGAGGTGGAGCACTTATGTTAAGCTCCAGAACAATATAAGATGGAGTTTCTTAAGGCAATGCAAAACTCAAGAAAATAGGTAAGATTAAAAGCAATAGGCAAAAAGTCAATTTGTATAATAATATCAATTTTTGATATATGATGACTGGAGAAAAAAGTATGTGCAATGTGAGGGTATGCCTCACATTTCTGAAGTAGTGTATATAATGTTTCTAATTGTGTTTTCCATCTCATTCTTGTTGCACTCTAACAAATTGAGTGTATCTGGAGTGTCTGTAAGTTGGTGGTCAGTTTCACCAACTAGGGAACAAAAGTAAGTCTCAAAGTTCAGTCATTTTAAGGCTCTTTCACCTAGGTGTGTTTATTATCTTACAAACAGTAACAAACACAACGCAAATTACTGGAAACACTGTTTTTCCCCAAAAAGTTTTCTCCCTTTTAGGGAGCTAAAGGAAGATAAGACATACCCATACTTCCTTTTGACCTTTTTGTATTCTTCCTCAAGCAACTGGGATCCATTACCCTCTAAGAATTTGCAGTGTCATTTCCCAGTGACAAAACTCTGCATTTTTATGAGCTTTTACAGATCATTTAAAACAGCGTATCTCAACCCATGGGACACAACCCAAAACTGGGTCACAAGAATATATGAAAGGATCATGAACAAACTTTAAGAATGGATTCTCCTATAAAGGAAAAAAAACTATGGGAAACTGTGGCTTTTCCCTTGCTGGCTGGCAGAGGTGCAGCCTACAAGGGGCTGGTTGGGATCCCCCGTGCCCCACACATACCCACACCCCCTGCCCCACACAATCTGGGGGCTGGGGCCTGGGCACAGGGGACAACAGGTTAGGAGTGAAGGGCACTGGGTTGGGACTGGCCATCTAAGTTTACAAATGGGTAGTGGTACAAAGAAAGGTTGAAAACCACTGATTAGGATTTAGAAATACATAGAGTAGTTCAAATTGTTCCTTTCAGCTTTTGTTTTTCAACATTAAGTTTCACCTGCCATCTCATTGCCCATTAATCTTGTTTTGAGATCCCTCTTAAATTCCCTTTTGTCATTTATACTTTTCATCATCCACAATAATTTGCATCATCAGCACATTGTCACCTTAATATGTTTTCCCTTTTCCAAACTATTAATATATTAAATAACTGGGATCCTATTATTTATCATTGTTTGTATTTATTCTGGGACCAGCATTCTGTTTTAGGAAGAGAGTTATTGCCCCGCTCTTCACACCCTACCTCTTCCCCTTCTTCCTCCTCTCCAAATGCACACTGTCAAGTTAAATGCCCATATTTTGAAAATTAGGCTCCATTTAGAGAATCTCAAATAGGACATCAAAATATTGAGGGTTGCAAACATGACCAGTTGTTTTTGGAAATCTTAGCTACTAGCTTGCCCAACAGTTAAAAATTCATCTTCCTTTTTACCGTTGTATTATATTATTCCTACATTTTGAATATTGTTTACACAGATCCATCAAAAGTAATTTGTCATATATTTAAAGTGCATTTTAACTTTTCATTTTTTACCAGACAATAAAAATTGCTATAATTAAAGGTATAGTTTATTCTTTCTTGGTGCAGTGGGGATGGACTATATCAGTGGACCAATCTTTTTGGCAGGTATGCCACAAATTAAGACCCATGCCCTCCCTGAGTCATAGAATCATAGAACATTAGGGTTGGGAAGGACCTGAGGAGGTCATCAAGCCTAATTCCCTACTCAAAGTAGGACCATCTCCCAATTATATCATTCCAGCCAGAGCTGTGTCAAGCCGGGCCTTTAAAAACCTCCAAGGATGGATATTCTATCACCTCTCTAGGTAACCTGTTCCAGTGTTTTACCACCCTCCTAGTGAGAAAATTCTTCCTAATATCTAACCTAAACTTCCTGTGTTGCAACTTGAGACCATTGCTCCTTGTTCTGTCATCTGCCACCACTGAAAACAGTCTAGCCCCATCTTTTTTGGAACCTCCCTTCAGGTAGTTGAAAGCTGCTATCAAATCCCCACTCCATCTTCTCTTCTG